TATATTTGCTAGTCCGGTAATACCACCGATATTACCGGTCGTACCGGTAATACCGCGTACCGGTGGGTAGACCGGTATGGCCACCGGTACGGTATTTAAAACACTGCTTTCGAGTAGAAGCGCGAAGGGGTATGCGAACAATATGCGACAGTTCGCATACCCCATAGCATAACTGAAATAACAGAGAGATGAAAAAAATAAAAAATAAACTTTCGAGTAGAAGTGCGAAGGTAGTATACGAGCAATATGCGGCAATTCGCATACCCCATCGCATAACTGAAATAACTGAAAGATGAAATAAATAAAAAAATAAATAAAAAATACACTTTCGAGTAGAAGTGCGAAGGAAATATGCGAGCAATATGCTGTAATTCGCATACCCCATCGCATAACTGAAAAATAAAAGAAATACGAAAAAAAACTTATTATGCACTAATTCTGCGAATAATATGCGACGTTGGTATGTCGCAGTTGTGTCGCAGAATAATTTTTTCGACTAATAGTCGTAGTTCATTCGCCTAACAAAAATAATTATTTAATGGGCGACGGACCGCGATTGACTGAATCGTACATCGAATCTCCGAATATTCATCGTAGAACAGTCGCATACTTTAACTCATAATTTTCTCGCCAATCTCATACTTGTCGCCTATTTAGCGCATAGTTCATCGCATAACATTTTGGGGTGAAAAACTTAGCTTTTGATTGGGTGATGTGAAAAACATAATATGACTTCAGAACAGGGTGAAAATAACTATTTTCTCTTTTTACTTTTACGAGTAGGGCATCGTGACTTGTAGTGTTTTACGCCTCGGGTGAGAGTCGTCTTGTATCAAAAGTTGAGTTTTTCGATTAGAAACAGGAAGAACAGAGAGTACGGCCGCCAAGGTAAAATTGAAATGGAGTTCTCATCGATCTTATCATCTGCTTTCCGATTGTTAACTTGGACCTTCAGGCCTTCAAATTCCTTTTTGAGTCGTGGCGTTCGTGCTATGAGCGCCGCCTCAGCCGCACCGAGCAAGGTTGTGAAATCGCCGCCGTGGATGATGCTGCCGCCGTCGTTTGAGGGCGGCAGAATGGTTAATTACAACTTCTACAGCCTGGGACACGACAAAGTCTTGAGCTTTGACGGCGGCAGGACATCATCACGGTACGAGAAATCAGAGACGAGCATAATCGTGGGATCCTCACACGGCTGGCTGGCCCTTTTCAATCCGACCAATTCCGAACTGTTCCTGTCGAACCCCCTCACCGGCCGCCACGTTAGTCTCCCGCCGGTTCCCCCCTATGGCCGCCACGTGGGTCTCCTGCCCCACATCACCGTCGATGATGACGGCTGTGCGTGGGTCAACAAGGTGATAATCTCCGGTGAAGACCCAGAACACGAAGATTGCCGGGCCTTGATGATCTTCGGCACTTGCGAAATCCTTGCTTTCTGCTGCCCGGGCTGGGCCGGGGCAGGGTGGACCCGCATCGGCGCCCACACTTATCCTCCGTACAATGACGTGAGGGGATACGAGGATATGGTGTACTCAGGCTCGGAGAATCTATTCTTCTGCCTCACTCAGATTGACTCTGGCGATTTGGAGGCATGGGATCTCACAGACCCCACCTCGCCTAGGCTGGTATGGTCGAACCACAAGGACTTGTTGGGCTATAAAAACTACATTTCTTGGTTGGATGATGTGGAGCATTTACGTTTGTCGGAGACTGGCATTTGGACAAGGGCACTTAGATACTTGGTGTATGCAGAGGATTTGCGGCAGTTGTTTCTTGTCACTCGTCACTTAGTCGAGCAAATGGCTCCGGATGGTTCGTCTGTGGAGGACTTGGAAAGAGACAATGAATACCCGTACAAGACGGTGGCTTTTGATGTGCATAAAATCGACCGGGAAGAAGGTGGAGGAGGGAAGTTGAGCTATGTTGATGGGTCGTTGAGTGGGTTGGCTATGTTTGTTGGGCTTAACCACTCGTGCGCGGTGATGGCTACAAACGATGGGCTGAAGCCCGATTCCATATACTTCACGGATGACAAGGAATTCAACCCGAGAAATTCGAATTACACTGATGAGGAGGAAAAAATGTATGGGGGGCATGATATTGGGATTTATGATTATGAGAAGAAGACTATCTCCCCTTGCTATTATCCGTGCGAAGTGGGGAGATTGAAAAGGATTATGCCTTCACCTATTTGGTTTACTCCTCGTAACTAATCACTTTTTAGGATTCTATTTATTTGTTTTGTTTAATCGTTTTCTAGCTTTATCTGTTTTTTTAGATTTCTTTTGATGGATATGACAGTTTGAATCTTTTATCTTGTTATTGTTATGAGTTATTCTGTAGTAGTGTAATAATAATGCATCACTTTGTAATAATTCATGCTGATCTATCCTTTCTTGTATAATTAGTAATCATTTGAGTGTGTTTGACAGTATAACACTTCTCCACCCAAAGGCATTTCGGTCCATGCGCAGCTGATCAACACTTATGGGAAATTTTGATCTATCCTACAAGATTCTCTGAAAATATTATAAAAACACATTCCACAAATAAATAATTACATCTCTACCTAATAGATAATATATAACTACATTATGGCCTAAAGTCAGTTACCATATTCATTCAACCTTCATCCCCTTTTTATGGGTTTAGTTAAGAGAAAGAAATGAAAACATGAATATAATAAATAACTTATTTAATTCCTTAATTTGCGCAGCTTGTACGTTTTAAATAGAGAGATAAAAACATGTATTGTAATTCACGCAGCTGTCCAGGTTGATATATATTGCATTTCTGTTAGTATATATATACACGCAACGTATAATGCATGCCTATACGCACAACATATACTGCAGTGAACATATACTGTACATATATTTTAATCCAAAAGTCGTGAATTTCAACGTACTAACTGATATACGCACTGTCCAATACCCCTAAAAAATCGAACCGAAATTCGATTTTACTGCAACCAACCAATCATCTCCCCCCCCGATCATGACAACGCCGAAACCCTCTATAGAGAACGCCGACAGTAATTAAAGGGGACTCTAAAACCCTCCTTAGACATTCTCGTCGAGGGAGTAAGACTAGGTGGAGGATGAGTCGGCGTTGAAGGGGACGTACTTGGCGAAGAAGCCGTGGGACGAGGCGTGGCGGCGGGCCTCGTCACGGATGTTCTCGTCGCCGCGACGGTGCTTGAGCGAGGGACCGTTGGGCCTTCCATTCCAAACCCGGTTGGGACCGTCGGGCCTTCACTGGTTTCAGAATCCGTACCCGCAGGGACCGTAGGGCCTTCCAAACCCGACCTGGTTGTCCATCCTCTCACGTTTACCGCACTAAGAACCAGTCCCATCGCCGCATCCTGTAAAAAAAAAAAAAAAAAAAAAANAAAAAAAAAAAAAAAAAATCAAATTTTCCATGAATCAATAAATTTCATTTTCTAACCAAAGTAACTTTTCCCCTTTTCAAGCAATAATGGTACGAAAAGAGTGAAATAGAGGAAAAAAGAAAGTGGATAAAAATCACACCTTAGGCCATCTCCAACCGAATACACCAAACTCAAACCCATTTTGCAGTACACATCCCATTTTGCAGTAATTCATCTCCAACCGAAAAACCTATTTTCCAACCCAAAAGAATATTCTCGGAATATTCTCTTTTACATCAACTATCACAACTTTTCAATACTACCCACATATTTTACAACTTTACAAATTAAACCACACTATTATATTCAAATTAGTGTTTTCTTTTATTGTTTAATAAAAATACCATAAATAATATGTATATTTTGCATTATTACTGTGAAATATATAAAATTAAATGATAAAATATAATATTTATCATTTTAAATATTATACTATTTAATTTTTATGAAATAATTTATATTACTATTTTACATTATTGTGAAAAAAATTAACATTAATATGTATAATTACTTTATTATGAACAAATATAAAATAATATCATATTAATTATTTTAAATATCATATTTATAATTTTCACGAAATTAAAAAAAATTATATTATTTAAACTTAATATTCAATTTAAAAGATTGTTTAAATAAAGAAAATCCAAAAAAACAAAAATCAATTTATAAATTAAACAAATTTAAAGGACCTAAATGTAAAAAAAAAAATGAAACGCAAAATTTGCGTTAAGACGCAAAAATGCGTCAATCTGAGGAGAGAGAGGGTTGGGATCGCAATTTGCAATCAGTTTTTGGGATCGGTTGGAGCTCCCCGTACTGCAATTTTTGCGTTTTGCAGTACGGTTGGAGAAGGTCTTAGAGAGAGTGCAGAGAACGAGGGCTGAGTGAGCAGGATCGGCGCGAAGGATGGGGCTGCTTGGGGCGGGGGTTTGGCGGAGATGGAGGAAGATCTAGAGATAGGTGGAGCCGCCATTGTTGAGACAGAAAGTTGAGCCGAGAGGGAGGAAGATCTGTTGAGATTTGTGGGTTTGGGTTAATTAAGGATCTAAATTCCATTTAATATTCCCAAAATTAAGGATCTAAATTTCATTTATGAATCTCAAGTATAATTATAATATTTTTAACTTAATTTAGTAATTTTATAAATAAGAATATAATGAGTATATAAGTGTAATATAAATTATATATGATAGTAAGAGATGTAAATTCCTCAACACTCATTGTATCACTAATGGAAATAAGCTCTTACATACGCTCAATTTTCTTAGGAAGACGTTGCGAGATACTGAACGAAGCGTGGGCGGTTTCGTACCTTAGCATACGTTGACGGTTGTGTTGTTCGAAAAAATTAAAATTATAAACATTCGTAAGAAGGAATATAAGTTTATCATATTAATTATCTCCTCAACAATCAGGATTACTTTAACTTCCTCCATTTCATGTCCATTGTATCAGCGTTTTTTAACCAAGTAGCGATTAGTTTGATGAGTAATAAGTCATGCAAACACATAAATACATTACAATGCCCAAAACTAATTAAGAACAAGTAAACTATTCAACCAGAAATTACAAACAGTATACTCATAATTGAGTATCCAAAAACAAATAGCAGAAAAACAAACCCACAACAAAAAAATAAATAAATAAATAAATAAATCATGAAATAAAAAACAAATAACCTACATTAAGTACTGGGAAAAAATTGAATATCCATTACGAGGGAAAATAAAATAAGGTATAATAAGTACATCTTACGTTAGGACTATGAAGATCGAATGTACACGAAGAGGCCACCTTTAATGAAATTAATTTTAATATAAATTAAAAATCTCACAAACAATTAAATATATCATTTTTTAAATTAATTATAATTAACTAAAACAACTCATTTTGAACAGATTTATTTGTAACTAGACATGACGAGTCAACAGGCCGGCAGACCTCCCATGGGTGA